ATTAGTTATTTAGTTATTTCAGTGGTTATTTTATGGCTAATGCTAATTATATGTATGATAAATGAATAATTTACAATATAATTAAGACATGTCAGGAATACAATAATGTACAACAAAATTATTCATCAAATTTGTTGATGGATGGAAAAAATTCAGTAAAAATTGTACCTTTTAAATTCATACGATTAAGTAATTAATAATTTGTTACGGATAACTTGTGCGTTTTGTAAATTAATAAAAATATGGAAAACATATTTCAATTAATCATAATTAATTATTACAGAGGTAATGATTATATAAAATACTTGCATGGTAAAGTGTAGCTTTCACAGTATTGCTATTTTATAACACCAATATTAATTTAAATAATATAATATATTAATATCATTTTTTTTCTTGAAAATTTTCTACATACTTCATTAACATGTCTGAATTTTTGTTTCATCATACTAGTTTCGTTAAAAAATAAAAATAAAAATAATGTGTCAAATTTGAATTATGTAATATGATGATTATTATTCTATATTTGAATAGATACACTATAAACAATAATTCCGAGTCAGCCTATATTACTATTAGGTTATTTTATAATTTATTTAAATTAATATTTATCATTTATTTTTTCATTACCGTATATGGTATTTTAAACGTAAATGTTATCAATAACATCGTAATTTATTATAACTATGTATRATTATAATGATGTATTTATATCATAATATTACAATATTGTTACTATAACTTGTAACTCAACATAGAATGGTTGAATAAATTCGTAATAAAAATAACTTAATTTTAGACTAATTACTTTGAACATATTGTATTGAATTTATTGTATAATATAGAAAGTAATATCATAGGTACGTCAGGGGCGTACATAGAAATTTTTATAAGGAGGGGAGGATGGTCTTAATTTTTTTAGCATATTAAAATTATAAAAAAAAATTATGTCATTAAAAAAAATCAAACACTTTAATTCATAAACTCTCTAATTATCAAAAGAAATAGGTTAGGTTTGTGGTTTGCACATTAAAAATTATTTGAAATTTTGTCAATCAATGGGGTAGGGTAGACCTAACCCCCTTTTTGTAAGCACCTGTCATACGTAATGGAAAAATGTTTTAAGTCCTTACGATGTACGATGCTTTTTAAAAATATTTTAATCGAAAAATAGCGTTACATAAATATTACCGTTTCACCGTAAATTTTTTTCGATTACTTTAAAAAGTTCTTATCACTCTCAAAAGTCAAAATACCAACCATATTCAATTTATTGTCAAAAACCACCATAAAACTTGTTTGTTCATGCATTTTTTCTGCTATAAAATATGATAAAAACGACAGATCTTGGTAAAAAATACATTCATCGTTTCTCTCTGATTCTAAAATACAAATACAAATTGTATTTTTATAAAGTAAAGATATATTTTTGTTATTGAAATAATTTAACCAAACTAGGTTGGTAAATTTTAGTAGAATTTTTTCAACAAAAAAAAAAAAACCGGTTTTATGTTGCATAGCTTTTATTTCCAAGGCCAAGATCAGATTGTATAATCYAGAGGGACTTGCAATACGTTACAAAAATCTGTTTTAATGTCATTTTACCACTTTAATCTCAGGTTGTCAAAACCAAATGAGTTAAGAATAATTTGTATTAAACAACCTACTTCTGTTTTTATTTTATTTATTAGTTAAATATGCACATTAAACAGGGTTATGCCAATTTCGAAAATAAATAAAAAATACACATCAAAGAGTTAAATGTACAATGATTAACATTAGCAAATATTAAATCCTGTACAAGGTTGATAGCAAAAAAATGTAGTCGTTTTTAGTTTTCACTTATTGTATTGTGATGTAGCTAAATCTATTTATTGCATGCTATTGCTTAATTATTTTAATCGTTCAAAAGTCAAAACTGTATTAAATTGCACTCTAGTGCACATCAATACAATACCTATACAATATACACACACAGTTAAAATAATGGTAAGGGGTAGTGGAATCAATGGAAAATCAAATAGCTCACAAAACAATGCAAATATGTGAGGTTAAGCGATGACCATCATAATTAAATAGGTAGGTTTTAAGTTCAGCCTTGCGACAAACGAATTTCTTTTCGTTGGGAGAGTATGGTTGTATGTTGTAATTCGATTCACATAGCATAAATAGTTCAGTCGGATTTTTTTTTATTGTTCACTTTAATAATTTAACAACCACGTGTGCTATAACGATGCTGTTATAATAGTTCAGCAATACCTCCACCGCTGCCTATAGGGAACATGCCCACGATAGTGATTCGTTAAACAGCGCGCGGGTTTGGACAAATGTTTATGTAATTCGTTGCCCGGAAGATTATGTTGATTGTTGTGTGTCCGTGTGTGCGTGGGTTGTGACGAGATAAAAATAAGAATAAAAAAAATGAACAAATTAAAAGGAGAAATAAAAAACCTGTTTACCCTCCCAACCATGTAAAGTATTCCTTTTCTGCTCGAGAATAACACCATGTATTTCTCCTACTCGGACAACACTCCCACTTCCATAACAGTCCAAGGTCTGAACCGTCTTATCCGTCTCCTCGTCGACCGTCGTAAGACACGGGTAATCGAAAAGTGAAAGTGCGGTGTACTAGACGTGTAATCACCAACGACAGCAGTGTTTGATGCAACGTTGTTGCCAAAGTACGAATCCATCGTCGCGTTTGTTATTAAGTTAACCATTTAATTTTGATCAGTGACAAAAATGAGTGATTTGTACCATAAGGAAACCATTTGCCGAGCAACCATCTGTCATGCCATCTTCTTATTATTGTAACTCTCAAACGCCACCACCTTTACCACCAGCCAGAACTCAAAGGCGCAGGAAGTCACTGTTTATTGATAAAGGTTTGAGCTCACCCCCGCAGCGGTTATAAAAGCACACGACTCGAATACGTAAAGGATCTTAAATTAAATTAAAGCATCTCATATAAAAGTATTGTAGTATAACAGTAAATTATTATTTCAACGTTTCAATATAATCTTTAAGGTGATCTTTCGTCGACTATAGCGATATCAAAGCATACACGTTTGTTATTTGCTAATGTTTTTGGTTTTGTTTGTTCTGACATCACAGATATTTAATAATTTCAATTAAGAAAAGCATTAATAATTCAAAGTAAACGATAATTACATTATACAAAATACCTCTTAAGACTTATTTTGGAAAAAAATATGTATCAAATTAAAAGCTAAGAGAACTATAAATTATTAGTTATTGTTTAAAATTATGACTGTATAGTGGGTTATAACGTGAAAATGATAAATGATAAATAATTAATGATAATTATTAAATATTTTTGAGGATGACACAATATGATAGTACACGTTTGAAGGTCGTATCGTGGGAAGAAAACATATTATTACAAATAATCATAACCTAATAATATTTTTTGATTGTTGAACTACAGTGCTATTTACTAGTAATTGATAATATTTTAAAAAGTTATAAATTATAATTGAATTTTATTTGTTGATAATTAGTTTTTTAAATATTTATATGAATAAAATAGGATCTTAGTTTTTTTTTTTTTTTTGTGAAAGGAAAGAACATACTCATTAGTTACACAAATATTGTTATCTAGATGAAAATATATTTATGAGTGCCGTAATCTTTCCGAAACAATTAGCCAACTGTAAATAATCGAGCGTGTGTTTTAACTAACCATACAATTTCGCATTTGTGAAGACATGCCTTTTTAACACATTCAATTTATTGATGCTTTCTTTAGTTTCTATATCTTCGCAATCCGTAATTAGTTTCATAAAGGATGTCCCCGAACAGATTAACTACAAAAAAAATCCATGTGACTTTTTAAGTGAACAACTGTTAAGTGTAGTATTGAAAACAGTTTTCCTCGAAGGGAAATTCGAGTCACAAGAGCTATCTTTATTTTTTGATAATGGTAAGTTGTATGCTTACTACTAATAAACTGTTTGTTGACGTACTATAAATAAACATTTTATTTTAAAACAATTTACCTATTTAAATTTACACTTGTACAATTTATATAATTTGTAATACGGCATTGTAATTGTCTTATCAATTATAATCTGGTATGAATCTAACGTTTTAATAATAATAAAAAATTATATAAAACATTTATTTCTACATCTAGGTACCTAATATTTTATAAAAACAATTTTGTTCATTAGACATTGGGAATGCAGTAAAACAAGAAATACCGGAGAATATCTATGTGTTCGATTCATTTAGCTCAGATAACTCTTCTGATGATGACGGAGAAAATGTCAAAAGGGTMCCTGAATATCCATGCAAAGATCGAATTTTGCCTGCCCCGCCAAGTGGTCAACGAAACTATGGACTTGGCCCACTGGTTAATAAAGCCAGGAAACGATTTAAAAAAGGCTGGTCATTTGGATCACTTAAATCACTTGGTAAAAACCGGATAGGAAAATTAAGTCAAGGGAATTTAACAAGTGAATTTGGTGAGTGAGGATTTTAAAATTTGGATAATATTATTATTTATATTATTTACAATGAACAATGTTGTGGTCTGCAGACAATAGAACATATGAGAGTACATCAGATAAAAGTATTGACAAAAGTTTCAATTCATTGGCGAATAGTAATAGCCCGTCTTCGTCGGTTTTCTATATTCCTATGTATAAACATATAATGTAAGTATTTAAATTTAAAATAACATAATATGTATGACATATCTAATATATTATATCATCATATGTAATATAATAAGATGTTAATTTACAGAGATAATGGTACGATTCGGCCTATTAAGGTTAGAAACAAACCTCCATCGTCTATTGATTCGAGACGTTTAAGTGTAGCTGTAGCAAGACCTAGTTCACCACCACCTCCTCCACCAGTAAAACGGCATTCAACTGGTAAAATTATATTATTATATTTATTTTTATACATAAGCTGTATTTGGACTGATATTTTAGTTTGGCAGCGGAAATCRCTAGGTGATGTAACTCACATCAACAACAATATAGTGATTTAAACTGATAATTATAAAGAAATAATAAATACTAATTTCCAATAAGTGTCCGGGGCTTCGCGGCGAATACGTGCCCACACGGGCATATGATATCACATTTGTTTTTTGATTATCACGAAAAATGATTAAAAAATTGTAAATTAAATACTAAAATATTGTACCACGTGGTTGGTTTTGCCAAAAATATACGTGCTCGCAACATAACCGAGAGGCTTTCTTTTGATGCAAACTGTAGATCACCTGCTACTAGGCCGATGAAAATTTCAAAATGCTGCCATACGGCATCCAAAAACAGCCTGGAGAACATAAGTCAAATATCTGAAAGCGTCTCAAAGAACTTCAATCATTTTTCAAAATTATTAATATTTTAGTCTTTTTTGAACATATTTACATCACTTGCATTTCCATGAACAATAACATACACGCATATTTTTCTTAAGTGATAACCATAAAATAATTTTCTGGGTGACAGTGTTAATAAACAAATTTAGCGTTCCCTACATACTTTTTACTAAATCATTGACATTTTATACTATCCTGAAAAATTTCAGTTTTGTGGGTTACATCGATTGGCTTTACTGTCATTATGTGTAAATAACTGTTGTAGTGTTGTGTATAACGTTTTAGGTAACACCACTTATGGTTCATTGCCTCGTTCAATTTACAATTCTAAAGGAAGGCCAGGCAATTCGTTGGACAAGAGTAGCACTGAATCAACATCCGAGAATGGTAGTATTTTAAATTAAATCATCGCCTTTAGCGTGATTTAATATTTATATAATAACTAAATTAATTTTACAGGTTCCAATCATGGTTCTGATTTGTACATGCGATTTGCTGATGAACCATTGTATCAGTTTTATGCAGCTGATTTATCCGAAGTATGTTTTATTTTAAAATTATTAGTCAATTAATATTAATCTTGAGTTTTAATTGTTTTTATAGAGGACAAAAAGTGTTTTTGCTGGTGACATTATGGAAGACTGTGATGGTTATGAAGAAATTAGTTCAATTACAAGTAGACCATCAGCTCTAGAGCTTATAACACCTTGTACGACTGGTCATGGGCAACATAGATCTTTATGGTGTGAAGTTCCAGAAGTAAAAAATAGTGGCATTATAGGTAAATTATTTAATAAATATTAGCAATGAAGAAAAAATAGTAATATTATTTATGTTATCGATTTCAATAGACTCGTTAACACCAAGAGAGCGAAAGTTACAAGAAGCAAAGTTTGAATTAATAACTTCTGAAGCATCTTATTTTAAGTCTTTAACTATCCTTGAGAAACATTTCATAAATAGTCATTCTATGAATGATGATACAATATTAAGCAAAAACGATCAAAAGATTCTATTTGGAAATGTTAATCCAGGTAATTATTTCACATTATCACAATACGTTTATTGTGCATTAAAATGATTTTAGATCGTAAATTTAAATACATACATTTTTTACTTTTAGTACGAAAATGTTCTGAAAAATTACTCGCAGCATTAGAAAAATGTTGGCAGGACAATATACTGCTAAGTGGACTAAGTGAAATTTTGTATACACATTCTAAAGAAAACTTTGATATTTTTGTAAAATATTGCTCAAATCAAATTTATATAGATCGTACTTTAAAGTCATTAAGGTAAAATGTTTTATATTAAAAACATATTAGAGCAAACATTTAAGAACGCTTTACTTTTTTTAGAGAAAATCAAAAATTCAATGAAGCTTTACAAAGACTGGAATCAGACCCAAAGTGCCAATCGCTCTCTCTTCATTCGTTCCTAATGTTACCTATGCAAAGAATCACTAGATTACCTCTACTCGTTGATGCTATTTTGTCACAAATGGACTCAAAAGAAAATTCTTTGGAATATCAAATGTGTGAATTGACTTTAGCTTCTTTAAATGCAGTATGTATATTAATATAGATTAGCTTCAACTTAGGTTTTAACAAACATTTATTCTATTGTCAATAACTTTTAATATTTTTACTTTATTTTAGATTGTACAAAACTGTAATGAAAGTACTAGAAAATTAGAACGTTATGAAGAAATGTTGTTACTTAGTCAACAGTTAGAATTTTCTAGTAAAAAAGAAATGAAAGCTATGTCAGTAGCTTCTAGTTCACGTTGGTTAGTTCGATCTGGTTCTATGTTGCATTTGACTGTTCCTGATGGAAAATTAACATTTAGTCGAAAAATGATAAGACCAACTAAACTTTACTTCTTCCTATTCAATGATATGTTTTTCATAGCTAAACGTAAAAGGTATTTCATTGTACAATATAAATATAATAAAAATAATAAAAATATTCACACCTATATTTTTACAGTGACGGAAACTATACAGTGGTAGATTACTGTGCAAGAAACTTTGTAGAAATGGAACATACCGCTGAATCAGTTATTACCTCATCCTATAAGAATCTTTTAAAACTAACAATTTTAGAAAATCATGAAGCAAAGACTATTGAAATGGTATTTGAGATTTTATATTTTAAATCTAAGTTTAAGAAATGTTTGTTTTAAATTTTTAATTAACTTTACAGTTATTAAGTTGTGATTCTGAATCTTCAAAAAAACGTTGGATTGAAGCAATGTCACCTCCTATCAGTTCCAATCCTGAGGAAACATTATACAATGAATGGGACTGTCCACAAGTGTATTCAGAACACCCGTATATTGCTGTTCAACCCGATGAACTGTCATTACAAAGTGGAGACATCGTAAAAGTGTTGACTAAAATGAATGATGGTAATATTTTTTTGCAAATTAAAAACAATTTTTAAATGGGAATACTGAAAATATATTTTTGAAACTATTAATTTATTATAGGATGGTACCATGGGGAGCGGATTCGTGATGGCGAGAAAGGTTGGTTTCCTGGTAATTACACATCTGAAATAGCCTCACAACATGCTAGAGCAAAAAATCTTAAACAACGTTACCGTTTGTTAGCCATGTCTGAAAGTTACCTGCAGTCTCGACAAGATAAAATTAAAAAAAAAAAAATTAGTCAAATTATTTAAACAAAATTATGGTATAAAAAAAAAATTCTACATTTTAAAAATCCCAACAAGTAAAGCAATTATAATAAAATTGATATTTATTGTTAATAATCTGTTCTGCTTTTGATTTAAACTTGTTATAATATACTATTAATATTTAATAAACATCGAAATTCATTCCAATAAACTATTTATACCTAAGTGCATTAAAAATAAAATAAAATAGAACAATTAATTTAAGCTTGGTAAGATTAATGTTGACAAATACTTGTAGAAAACAAAAAGATGCATTATATTTGACTATTTTGAATTATGTTATTATGTTATGTTTAATTTACCAGTTAATTTATTTTGTTTTATGAAAAACTATTTATCCTTTTTGTACTTACCTTGACAAGGTTAAATACTTAACCTCGCTCATTTAATTATAATTAAATAAATGTAAATAATTATTGTTTATGATTTTATTTTTTTAATGTATTATTGTTACTGTTATTTACAATTATTATACTTTTTATGGTTTTTACTTCAAAATAAAGTATATAGAAAATAATATTATGCTTATCATATTATATTTTTAAATGTGTATTTAATATTTTAGGTTTGAATATGTTTTGGGAATACTCTTTAAGGTTATGAAGTTATTATGACATGTACTATTTAGTAATTGTTGGAAATTTGATCAAAATGTAATCTGTTAGATCTTATTTGATGTTCATGACTATTACAAATATTCAAAACTCAAAATTATGAAAATATTTTTGAGTGACATCTAACCATTTTAATATTAATTATGATATAACAGACAAAACCATTTATTGACATAGTTTTTGGCCTATAGTCATCATTCTTAAGAGGACGTCACTCTTGCATGTGTTGTCTCCATCTTACAAACTTACCTATTTTATTGGTAGCACTAATTAATAATTTTTAATTTTTAATTTAAAAAAAAAAACCAAAAAATTTAATTTTCTTAAAMTGATAACTTAAATTGTATTTGTGTTATCCAAATAATAAAAACACTACGACACTTTTTCTCTTAAGTAAATATAAAATAATAATATTTGTGTGTTTGTAAATTTGTATATTATGGATAAGGTGAATGGAAAAGTACAACAATTGAACTATTTATACAGGAAAGTGATTGTTTTTATATAAATTGTTAAATTGTGAATTTGTAATAGTTAATTATTAGATGATAATTTATTTTAAAGACACTTAATTCTTACTATAAATTATAAAATATTACTGTTATATAGTGGGTTGAGTGTAGTAAAACACAAACCCTAAATTATTTAAATACAACAGTACTTGCATAATTAAAAAGAAAAAACCAACAATTTCGACAGTCATGTTGTTGTTTGGTAAGTTTCGAGTGTAGTCACCTCGTTATTAAGTAAGTAACTTTAATGAAAGTGTTAAACTTGAAATCAGTTCATGAGTCAAAAAATACGATTCTATGTTCAGACGACTTCAGAGTGGAAACAGTGAAGAGTTAGTCTTTATTTCTAACAATATTTTAAAATTTTTGACGAAGAACTTACACATTTTCTTCAAGTAGATATAATGTTGATTCGAGAGAGTTAAGATATTTCCTTCAAGTAAACATAATTTTGATCCGGGAAAGTTTACCTTCTGGAGAATTTATTAGTTTAGAAAAGCGGGAGAGTTTATCACCGCTCTTCATGCTATACAAAGGTGAAATTACGATCAAATAATTCCAAAATATGAAGCATGGGTTTCCCAACCCCCAGGCGATACCTACACACTATTTTTTTTATTAAATCATAWAACAGATTCAATAAAATGAAATCATAGATAGTGCATTATCCATAATATATTGTARACTACCTATATAGTWAATTTATTATAATTTACATAAGGCTGGTAACAGTGGTAACATAATACATTTTTATCGTAAAATTATTGCTCGTTTTTAATATATAACACTATATGTTATTGTGAATATAGCACAATTCACGAGTGTCGAAACATTTTCTTAACATTTAAAGCGGGAAAAAATTAATATTTCAGAAACTTAAAATCAGACTGAATTAAAGGAAATTAAATTGTTTACCTAATACCTATATAAAATTATTATGTCRTAATAAATTGATTATGTAATAGCCAATAGGTACCTATTTGGCTATTTAGGAGTATTTCAAGTACCTGAAGATGAAGGTATTTATGGTTTATTTTATTATGAATATTACAAAATAATAAAAATTGTTATYTTTTTGGATGTACGCTTAAATTGTCTGCAAACTCCAGAAAGTACTTATGATGAATTTGTTTTAAAGTCTCAAGCCTGAAGTATAGAACTTAAAATGTTTCAAACTAAATATAAAAAACATGAACGTGTTTTATATATTATTTAATTAGCTCTTATTTTTATGGTTTAAATACGACGTGCGAGTGTGTGACTCYAACATAAAACCCAATTCTATTAACATTATATACATATATATAGAAATCGTAAAAATATAATTAGRAAACACTTATTTTACTTATTAAGTATAATTACTAACAGTATTATTTTTCATTTAAATAAACAAAATGTTTTATACTATTGCTCACTTTATAAATTTTTTGCATAATAGTTCCGAAAAAGAGATAAAGTTTAATGTGGTTAGCATTAAGATTGTATAATATAACGAGCTCACGTTTTGGATTGACATAAACGGTTTTTTTTATTGAACGAGTAAATAGAAAACGTGACACACGTGACGATGATCGCCTAAGTTGATTTATTTTTATCAGGAAAATGATTATTATAGTTCAAATTTTGAAGGGATTTCTAAAGGATTAACAGTCAAACGATATCTAAWATCTATGACTAAATGGGATAAATAATGACCATTGAATAGTAGCATTAACAGTAAAAATAAACCACTTTCATTGAGAACGTCTGTTATTTTTATGTGACACTTACCTAGTTTATTGTTTTTAACTCACGTTTTTTTTAACGTAACAATAGATTAAAATTAATTCGATTTAATGATGTATGTATTTTATAATAATATTTAATGAATTATTCATTAAGAATAATTTATTAAAATTGATTTGTGCATCACATTTAACTATATAGGTAACTGCCTTCTTTTAATAAACCAATACGATTATTTTATACTGTATACATATTGCTTTAAACTAAAATTATTTAATATTATTTAATCTTAAGAATAGTAAAATTATAAATAAATATTTTATAAGTTATTTCCAACGTGAATCATACCTAACAGAGTAAATAAYCCCATATCCAGTGACTCTGTGTCAAATATAATTACTTATAAAGTAATAACTGTTTGTAATTAATGTGTTAAACAAATATTTTACCACCCACGACCMATCTATTATACATGTAGGTATAATCAATCTAAACTCTAAATTATAGCTTACTTATAATTTATATTGTTATACTTCACGACTGTGTGGATTTAGATAATAATGTTGGTACTTGGTATCGATTAAAATATAAATTTAACCTATTCAGTGAACACACCCACATACATAAAATGTTATATGACATCAGTMTAATATATTAATTAATAATATAAAATATGCAATCAAAATTTTGCAGGTTATTATCGTTGAACTTTAACGTAATATCGTTAATGGACAAATTGCATATTTATATTATATTATCATGTACCTATATCTAGTCATGACAGAAGCGAAATTAGGAAACAAAAACCTTTCGCCTAGGTAATAATGATATTTTGTTCGTACGATAAAATCTATTAATAATTCACTGTTTTTAAATTGAAATTCGACGATAGTAATCTGTATTGTAATTGTTCTACTAGGCACTGGGATCATTAAACAAATATGGACCAAWGTTTCAGGAAAAAATATCTAAATTTTGATACCGCCAGCCCTACCGTAAGTATAGATATGTAAAGGGCGATTCTTTCAGACTTAAAAACTAATTTTCTTGAAGAGTTTAAACGCTTTTATTTGTCGTGTTTTTAATAYCTAATTGAATTCATTTGGTAGTTAATTATAACTAACTACTAGTTAGAAATTATTTTTTAATATATTTAAATTATCGGAAAAAATTGTGATTCGTATTATAAAATTAAGATATATAATATTATAATGTCATTCAATAGTTGAATACTCAAGATATAATGTTAAAAATTAAACTTTTTTCAAAAATGTCAGTTAATATGAATATGAAATAGGCTTATAAAATATTACCAAACATAAAGTAATCCATTAATAAAATATAATTTAAGTTTTTTTATTTGAATTATAAGAAAATKTATTTGTATTTATATTTATATCTATCTAATTCAGTTATACATATTAATACAATAATTTAACACCCAAGTATATATAAAGTAGGTCTCTAACGAAAACAGAAAAAATTGTTTTAAGATTCTTTGTAGTAATCACATAAATTAAAATCCCAGTAGTAGGTACTATCGATTTATACAAATATACCTATATATAATAAGTAATTACAAAGTAAATGTCATAAAGCCTTAAACGTGATGGACCGAGAATGACAAAAAAAGTCATGTGGTGCATAAGACGTGTCCGATACACAAGAAAGATTTAAAAATGTATTTGTTCTACAGTTCTACAATTCTACAAATACAAAATTTAATAATTCGTATATATAAAAAAAGTTTCAACTATTAATATTTGTTATTATGTTTCAACGAAAAATGTATCTTAAATATTTTGTTTTTATGATTTTATTATGGAGTGTTCAGTGTAAGGGGTATAAGCCCGTTACAGCATTCCAGTGAACAATTTAATTTTCTAGTACTCCGTTCTAAAATGTTGTACAAATCGTTATCACATAATTCTATTCTAATCGCTACGACATTAAAGTAAAATTAGCGGCTATACAGAGTGTGTCCCACAGAGATCTGACATTCTAACAAATGAAATAACTTTTGTTCTACCTAATCAATATTTTTTAAAAATTTCTTTTAAATATAATCCATAGACACTTGCGCTACATTTTTAGAATACATTTTTTATTTTTTAATACTGAAAATAAAAAACATAAAAAWTGATAAATTTTTTCTCTCGAAATATTCAATATAGCCAATTTGTAAATTTGATTTTCAGAAAAATTTATATGGTAAAAACACTTATTTAAGTCAAAAGTCTGATTTTTTAAAAA